TAAAATGCTGAAGTGTTTAGCACACTGAGCGTTTATGGTAAACACTCAGCCTGTTCATAATGTGACATAAATGATTATGAAGCCTTAATTTAAAAAATACCCTTCTTCAACTCTACCAGTCCATCAAAAAAATCTTCAAAAGCATGATGGCCACCTGAGCCAGCAATTCCACTCCTAGTGGGATACCCTTATGCGATGAAAAGAACTGCCCAGGAAACAAATAGGGCTACATGAGAAATTCCCGACAAACTTAAATGTCCTTCCATGGGTGAATGGATAAACAAACTGATCCATCTATACAATGGAATATTATTCAGACATAAAAAGGAGTGAACTATGGGCACAGCAAACAATACAGATGCACTTCAAATGCATTATGTTAGTGAAAGAAGCCAGACTCAAAAGGCTGTGTGATTCCATTTTCTGTGACCTTCTGGAAAAGACAAAAGTATTGGAACAGAAAGCAGATTAGTTGTTGCCAGGGGTTGGCAAATGGAGCAGGAGAATTTTTTATGATGGAAATGTTCTATATCTTGATTGTGGGGGACGTTACATAACTGTATATGTTCAGAACTGTACACTAAAAGGGAGGATTTTACTGCGTGTAAAGTATAGCTCAATAAAATACAACAAAAAAAGAAAGAAAAGAAAAATAAAAAACCCCAAACATGCCAGGTAAGATAGGATAGAGCTTGGGAACCTCATCTGGGGTTCCTGACACAGCGGAAAGTTGCTAACCAGTCCTAGCCTGCCCTGGCTGGCCTCGCCTTCCTTCACAGGCTCAGAACCAGCAGGGGCACACACCCCAAAACAAGCCAAGTCAGGTTCTGGGAAAATCCACATCCTACCTTACCTGCATGCGGGAAATACAGAAAGAGCTTGTGAAACAGACATCACCAAACACATTAGATCCTGGCCATCGGAATGACCCTGGGTTCCCCAAACCTGAGGCTCTGATCAGCCTTCCATGCTAGAGCTTAAGACCTCTCTGCAGTTTCCCTCTTGAAAATCTTTAAGTAGGAATTTTGCTACAACTGGCTAAGCCTACACTAAACAGGTCCTTCACCAGTTACCATCAGGAATGCATCAGCCACTGTGCTAGGGATGTGAAGACACAATTAGAGTCTAACTGTCCCTATGGTCAGGGCCACAGGACAGTGTCATCAGGGGTTTGAACAAAGTGGCCAGTCCTCTTTTCTGAGGGTGGATTGGATTTCTGCTGACAGATTGGTTACTGGAATCCAGATGAGGCAAACAAGGGGTTCCTCATGCTTGCAACACTCATCAAAAACAGGGCAAGCGTGGCATGGTGGGGGTGCTGAAGCCTCAGCTACTAAGCGGCTGAGCAGGAGGATTACTTGAGCACAGGAGTTCCAGGGGCAGCCTGAGCAACATCTCAAAACCCAAAAAAGAGGGGGCACTGGGGCTGCAGCTCAGAGGGAGACTATGTCTTTAGACTGTAGAAGGCCCTGGGTTTGTTGCCCAGAACCACATACAGCCCCCACCCCAACCAAAACCAAACAACAACAACAAAAAAATTCTATTTCTCAAGGCTGCTTCTGCCCTTCTATGATATGAGCTTCTTGGGGGTGATGAGGGGGTGGAAATTATTTGTATGCCTAGCTGGCGCCCAGCATGTAGGTGGCACAACAAAGATTTGTTGCCTGCTGAGTAAGTGTGGGGTTCATAAAAGCAGTCACCAAAGGGAATTTCCAGAACATTCTGAGTTCATGGGACTAGGTGTGAGATTTCCACAAAATGACATCTGTTTGAACACCATAATGCTTTGCCTAACTGGAACCCAGATATACAGACTAACCTACTCAGATCACATCAGAGAAGCAGGGAATTGGCAGAAAAGGGAAGTGGCAAAATGTGGCTAGATTTTAGGGGTTTTGATCCTGCCTCCTTGGCCTTCCACAGTTAAAGCCTTGATAACTCAACTTGGTAGGTTATATCTGGTAACCTTTGAGTAAATTACCCCCTCCCTGTCCCCAGAAGGGCTGAGAGGCTTTCAGGTCGGGACACAAAGGGCCTCAATACTGTGGATCCTACCACTGCCAACAGGGGGAAAAAAAAAAAAGATCTTTGCTTTTGAAAGCACAATTATAAAACAATTTTGTGTTTTTGGAGCCAGATTTAAAATTAGGTAGTCAGTGTAGTTAGGTAAATCGGGTATAATATGGAGTGAAATCTAAAATGGAGGCCATGCTGAGAATGATTCCGGGAAACACAGGACAACTCATGGAGTGTTAACGAAGTCCCGAAAAGGCCCTAGGCCCAAAGTCCATCCCAGAGGAATGTTAATGGAGCCCAGGAAACAGCCCCCAACAGATTTGGAGATAGCCCATCCCAGAGAAGTGTTAATGAAGTCCTTCCTGCCCAGATGACTTCTTTGGCTCACCTGTGTCCCACCCCTTCCCACCTACATTCCATCACTGAAAGAACTATAAAAAGGGGAGACAGCGTACTTCCACGGATTCCACCTCTTGGGTCCCCTTCTTCCTCCGGGAGAAGTCTTTTCTGCTGTCCTTTAATAAACTTCTAATCTCTACTCTGACCTTGCCTTGGCGTGCTTCTCTGGTATTATTCTTCAACATTGGGGAAGCAAGGACTCGTCACCGGTCAACAGCGGTAACATTTTCACCTGTTTTTGACCAGCTAACCCCAGTGAAAAAGTGATGAGTTTTTGAAGACCACAGCGCTGGTTTCCTTTGCTCTGGAGAAGAGAATCCCCAAAGGCTATAGTTTCACAAGTTTCCAGAATGGAATGTGGATGACTAAATTCCAAGCACTGACTCACCCTGGTCCCAACCCCTTCCCCTGTGAATCAGAGATCTACCTGTAAGGACTCCTGTTGTTCCCCTGATGCCAGGCCTGAGTTCTGAAGGGTTGGTTCAACAGTGGATGAAGGCTCAAGGGTAGGATCTGGAGACAGGAGTAAGGAGGAGAAAAAGTGAATCGAGACAAGTCCTGTTTGCTCCTCAGCCTGTCTTGAAGGTTTCAGTGTGTGCATGAGTCCCGTTGTGTTGGTACTCAATCTCCCTGGTAGCTCCTGACAGCATGATCAAGGGAACAAAAGCATGCCATTGGCCCCAGACTAGCAACGCCAGTAGAAAGACTATGAGAAGACCAAACACTAGCTGGTATTTAAAATGCTTGAATAGGAGGATGGGGGTGTTCGGCGGTAGTACTTGCCTAGTATGCTCAAGGCCCTGGATTCAATCCAGCACCACAAGATTAAGGGGAAAAAAAGTTAGAATAGGCACATCATTAAAGTAAAAAGAAGTAAGAAAAAAATTAAAGAATTGGGTGCAATGGCTTATGCTGTAATTTCAGTGACTAGAGAAGCTGAGGCAGGAGGATTGCAAATTTGAGGATGGGCAGTTTAGCAAGACTCTGGCTCAAAAATAGAACAATAAAAAGGCTGGAGATGAGGTCAGGGGTAATGTGTCCCTGGGTTCAGTTCTCAGTTGGGAAGGGGACGCTAGTTTTAAAAAAGTAAAAAGAAACAAGGGGCCTGGCATGGTGGTGGACACCTGTAATCCCAGCAGTTTGGGAAGCTGAGGCAGGAGGATCACAAGTTCAAATCCAGTCTCAGCAACTTTATCACAACTTAAGGAGGCCCTAAGTAACTCAGTGAGACCCTGTTTCTAAATAAAATACAAAAACAGCCAAGGATGTGGGTCAGTGGTTCAGCACCCCTGGATTCACTCCCCAGTACCAAAAAAAAAAAAAAGGAATTTAATTTTAATCCATTAAGTCCCAAGTTTTCAATTTTACATAGGACAATGGGACATCATGGGTTACTCATTTATTTTAATCCAGTGCAGCAAAAATAATATCACTTCAACCTGTAATCATCATAAAATGTTATGACTTAGTGATGGAAACATTCATAGTTTATTGCTACAGTGGAAATATTTGCATTTTCTCAATTATTTTATTTATTTAATTAATCATTTTTAAAAAAATATTTATTTTTTTAGTTGTACACAATACCTTTATTTTGTTTATTTATTTTTATGTAGCGCTGAGGACCGAACCCAGGGCCTTTTGCACGTGCTAGGCGAGTGCTCTACCGCTGAGCCCCAGCCCCAGCCCCAGCCCCTCATTTATTTTACAGTTAAATATTTTTTACTTGCCCTTTGCCTTCAGTTTAATTTCTTTCAGGATTTTTTCAGATGTATTTAAATAATGGTAGGGTAGTCATTCAAGATGGAAATAAAAACCATCTTTTCATTAAACAAAACAGCCATTATGAAACATTTTCTCTACATTCACCCTGTCATCCTGTTTGAGATCTGTATTCTAACATTAACGGCACAGTTTGGGAGCTCAGAAGCCAACGTGACCAGTAGTAACCACACTGGACAACTGCGCAGGTAGGGACAAACGACCGAGCAAGGTGGGACAGGGGCTGTTACTGAAAAGGGCAATGAGCACAACCCCGCAACGGGGCTGGGGTTCAAGTTGCAGGTTGGGGGACTCGAGGTAGATTTAAGCCCCTCCAATTCTCCTTTCCCTCCCTCCCACTCAGGACAGATGGAATCCCCTCACCACGGCGGCCGTGCCACCCCGGCTCTCCTGCCCGCGCCCTCACTCCCCCAGGCCTCTCCAGAAGCGCCCCAGTACCCCAGGGCCGCCCACCTTGGAATTCACCTAGCTGCGCCGTCCGCCATGTGGACGCTGCCCTCCCTGTCACTCAACTTCTCCCGCCCCCAGCCTCGCCGTAACCGTCGCTTCGCTCGGTTTCCACAGCTACGCCACTAAGGGGCGGGTCAAGAGCGCGCGCCGCGCCGTCACTCTCTTTTGATTGGTGGGTGGCCAAGCCCCTTCTTTTAGCCACTCCTGCCCTTGCTCCGCCCCGCCTCAGTGGGTCCCGCCAGCTGATTGGCCAGGCCTGTGGTACGAGTGTCTGGTTTTCGCTCGGACTGTGGCCGAGAGGCGGGGACCACGGTGTGCTCCCTTCTCACTGATTGGTGGACAGGGCGCGCGCGGCAGGGAAGGGCGGGGCGGCTGAGGAGCCGCAGTCTCGCGCCGCGGTCGCGAGCGTGTGAGGGGCTGTGCTCTGTGTTTCGCGGAGATAGAAAGCCGTATCCGCAGTAGTAGAAGCAGGAGCCACACTGTGAGGGAACCATGAAGCATTATGAGGTAAGAAACGAGGAAACGTACCGAAGTGCCCCGTAGACCTATTCTTTTTTCTACTTTGCGGGGCCACGGTATCCCCGCTTTCTCGTCTGCTGCCTCGGCGAGAGCCGGACGGACGCGCAGGCGCAGTGGGCGAGCGCTGCGACCGAGGCTGCTCGTAAAACCCAGAGCGCATGTGCGGGCATGGTATTTATAAATCTGCAACCCAGGCTGTTTTGGGGGTGCCTTCTCTTGGGGTCTCTATAGAGCGTGGGAAAAGCTTCCTTGAAGCTTCGCCAGCGGGCCGAGTTCTAGAGTTTGTCCAGGAAAGAGCGAAGGTGGCGAACCCTTGCTTTCAATCCCGGAGTCTCGCCCAAACCTTGCACCGTGCTACCGCCTGGGGTTCAGGAAGGGGCTCTGCAATCAGTCCTCTCCTGTATGACCTTGGACCCCATCCTTCACCCGGCAAGTTCCCTGAGAGCCTAGGCAGTGAGGGAGATGCAACTCCACGGCCCGTTCCTGCCGAGCAGCAAAGCAGATCGGACTTTCTGGTGACCTAAGAGATCATTTCTGACAATCCCTGCTTGTCACCAAGGAGAAATCTTATGCCCGAAGCCGCTCTTGAAGCCCAAGTCATCTGACTCTTAATTTTAGGTTTCGTTTTCTCTTAAAACGAATCGTCTGATGTGTTTATCGATCTAGCTGATAATATATTAATAATTTATTGCTGACTTAAGTAATTATCATAAATAATAAACTACTGTATTATGCATCATAGGAAGAATAATTTTGCAAGTGCTTACTCTTGTGCTAGTGAGATTCTGTTACACTGTTCTCATCCTCACAGTCCTATGAGGTAGAAGATTATTTTCCCCTCATGTAGAAGAAGAAAGTCTCAGAAGTGACTTGTCCAAAGATCTCCAGCTAGTAAATGCCAACAGAAGAAATCAGGAGTTCAGGGTCATAATTCCTTGCTACAAATTGCCATACAAATTGTTAAATGAAGCTGGGGATATAGCTCAGTTAGTAGAGTGCTTGCCTCACATGCACAAGGCCCTGGGTTCAATCCCCAGTAACACCAAAACAAAGGAAAAAAAGATGTTCAGTTACAAATTGTTAAATGAAAAGTATCAAATTGAGAGATTTCTTGTTCTCCCTCCTCCTCAAATGTTAAAATTGTGATAAAATTTACCCTCAACCTTTTTAAGTATACAGTTCAGTGGTATCAAGTACATTCACATTATTGTGCAGCTGTCCCTATGAGCTATCTCCCAAACTCTTTTTATTTTCAAGATTGAAACTCTGTACCCATTAACAATAAGTCCCTATTCCCTGCTCCCCCAGCCTCTGGCACCCACTATTCTTGTCTCTAATGAACTTGGAATAAGAAGAAGAGATCTTTTTTTATTGTTGTTTTCTTTTTGCTACTGGGAATTGAACCACTTGACCACTGAGCCACATCCACAGCCTTCTTTGTTTTTGATTTTGAGACAGGGTCTTGCTGGGTTTCTGAGGCTGACTTTGAACTTTTGATCCCCCTACCTCAGCCTCCTGAGTCTCTGGGATTATAGGCATGCTCTATTACATCTGGCCTTTTTGTTTTTTATACAAATTGGATATCACTACCTCTACCCATTCCCTTTATTATTATTTTTGGTAATTTGCCCAGTATCCTTTGGAACCTTTGATTGAAATCCTCATTTTTGACATGATGTCAAGAACAAAGAGGTAGGAGTGGATAATCTCTTATGCCCTATTCATCTTTAGGATTCCAGAATAAAGTTCTTCTCATGTGGGTTCCCCTCTCAAACCCTCTGTCTAACCCAGGAGAAAAAGCCATGTTCAGTAGGAAAAACGCAGATGGGAATCTGCTAAAGCAGGCCTGTCAGGATGCTTGGACACTTTTTTTCCAGGAAGCTGGGTGCAGCTTGAGCACATAGATTGAACTTGAAAACATGTTAGACTCTACTTAAACTTTTCTCTGCCAGGAGGACCCTTGTTTTCATTCCCCAGCAAAATAAAAATCAATGACCTGGTGAGGGGCAGTTGTTCTTGTTATCATTCTCTGTTAACATTGCCCAATAACCTACTGAGGTGATAGCTAAACAGGTTTCTGAGGAGCTGTTGTCTTGCAGCCCAGTTCTCTGGGCAGGCAGATTAGTTTTACTCCCAAGTGTTTCTTCACAGCAATGAAAATAGAGGAGAGGCTTTCACTCATACTTAGCAGTTTGAGAAGAGGTTTCAGTTTTCCACGTGAAAGAATATATTTCAGCTTGGGACTAAGTCTGTCCTTCATCCTCCAGTCCACTGACAGATTGGCCCCTGGAGAGAACTTGGAGAATATGAAGTGTAATTTATTTTTTACTGTTTGTGGTACTGGGGATGGAACCCCTCGCCTCATGTGTGCTGGGCAAGCACTCTACCATTAAGCTACACCTCCGAAGTGCTGTGTACATGTGATAGAAGTGATGCTCAGCAGAGTGCAGGACTCCTTCACTGTCCTATAGCTAGTCTGTGTCAGGTCAGGATTTGATGCATGGCAGTTAGTGTCTCAACTGGAGGAGAGATTGGTAGCTGGTTTGCTAAATTTCTTCTTTCTTAACTACTCAGCCACATCCCCAGCCTGTTTTTATTTTGAGACAGGGTCTTGCTAAGTTTCTTAAGGCCTCACTAAGTTGCTGAGGCTGGTTTGGACTTTCGATCCTCTTGCCTCAGCTTCCTGAGTTGCTGGCATTACAGGTGTGCTCACCATACCTGGCTGTTTTGCTAAATTTCATATCACTTGCCAATCTCATCTAGGAGGAAAAAAAATGTTCCTTGTGTGGCCTAGTTGAGATGAAGCTCATAGCACAGGTCACCCTTGGGCCTTAGCTGCAGCCAGCTCCTTGGAAAGGCAGAGCCGACCTTGGGATTATTTGGGGTCAGAGCATGGGTGAGAACTGCTTATCCTAGGCTATGGGAGTTTTTTTTTTTTTTGCTGTTTTTCACCACTATAGGCAAAGATGATCCCAGTAGCAGCTAGAAAAACAGATGTTGCATCTGACAAATGAGCCTATAAATTCCTGGGAAAATCAATCCATCTTTAGCCTGTGGGAGCTCAGGTTACCTGCAGCCCAGAACCTGGAGGCTAGGAAGCCCTTATTTAGAATCTTCCACCTCCCGACAAGGGTAGTGCTTTTGGTACCCATCTTGCAAGTCATCCTAGACCAGTTTAATATCTTACCTCAGGCAAGTTCTTGCTTTAATTTTCTCCATGAGAATAAGTATGAAAGTTCTAGAAGCAGAGTTCTGGTCAAGGGGCAATTGTTTGGAGTCAGAAAATTGGGTAGGAAGGTGACAGTTAAGGAGAAAGTAGACAACTTGTACATAATGGTCTCATAGGTGTGTGCACTTTGGACAGGCCTGGGGCTGAATCCTGGCATTGTGTTAATTAAATAGTTATTTGACTCAGATTAATTAACCTCTCTATGCCTTTCTGTGGTTGAAACTCACTTGATTGTGAAAGCAGCAGCAGAACATTATGAAATGGCTAGACATATCTATGTGTAAAGGTTATGTGTAAAGGAAGAAAGAGGTTCATCCATTTCAACTGCTGTGCACATCCACTCTAAGAAGAAAATCCTGAAAGTACACAATCCTTTAATAAATCCCCAAACATCATGTTTTCATGTTGAATGGGAAAAAAGCAAGTCGCAAAAGATCCTATAAATATAAATATGTGTGTGTGTGTGTGTGTGTGTGTGTGTATATTTTTTTTTGCTGAGGGTTGAATCTTAAGACCTCACACGTGCTAGGCAAGTACTCTACCACTGAGATACACACTCAACCCAAGATCCTGTAAACTTAAAAAATTTAAAATCCCTCGGGGCATGGTGGTGCCTGCCTGTAATCCCAATGGCTCAGGAGGCTGAGGCAGGAGGATCTCCAGTTCACAAGTCCTGGAGTCCTGGAGGTGAGAGCAGCATTGGGCCTGGAGAGCTGTGATCTGGTGAGCTTTGAATGCCCCTCCGATGCTAGCATGCCTCCTACCAGGATCACAGTTTGTTGGAGGGGGGTCTCAGGCTTTTTAGCTTCTTGTACTGAGCAGATGGTAACTCAGTTGGCAGATTCTCCTGGTTGAGACCTTTCTCTTATTTTTTATTTTTTTGTGGGGAAAAAAAAAAGCGAAGGGCTAAGCAACTCAGTGAGACCTTGTCTCTAAATACAAAATAGGACAGGAGATGTGGCTCAGTGGCCAGGTGCCCTTGAGTTCATCCATACCCTCCCCCCAAAATTAAAATCCTACCAAATGAGATTTCTATTCTTTATGGTCATATATAAAAAAAAGCATAAATTGTAATAATTTATAAATTTATGGTCATAGCATAGTAGTTAGAGGGGCTGTTGCTTATTTGAGCAGGAAGTAGTGGGGGAGCTTTAACTCATTTGTTTTTTTTTTAAGGAATCTGAAGTAAATCTGAAGGAAAATGTAAATATCTGTTAAACCTGGGAGTTGGAATTGCTTCTGTTTTTTTTTTCCCAAACTGGTGGTGAGCGCATGAGGAAGTACTCTACCACTGAGCCCCCCCCACCCCAGGACCGTCCTTTTGTTTTGTTGTTGGCAAATAATATCAAGGACAGATCCCATTTATTGTGTCTTCCGAGGACCCTGAGATTTAAGAACGCTTTGTTCATAGGAACCTGAGGCCCAGAAGGGCGAGGAACTTCCCCGAGGTCTCCTCGTGGGATCCGACCAGGTCTCTGTGCCCGGTGGGTAGAAGAGCCTGGGCCACAGAGGGGGAAGAGGTTGCTGCTGGTGGCAGCTGGCCGTCCATGAGCCCTGTGAGCACCTGATGAGGTGGAAACCTGGGCTGCTTCTGCTCTACAGATGGGCAGACGTGGCCCAGAGAGTCAGGTTCAGTTGCTCCAGGTCAAAGTGTCAGGAAGCCGTGGAGCTGAGCCTGCTCTTTGGCTTATCTGGCTCCAGTTTTGTCCCTGTCACTGTCTTCTCTGTGGAGGCTGCACTGAGGTGGCTGGTGGCTGAG